TAGAATAAGTTTATATTTAAAGATATGCATAGCTTATACTGTTAAATATGTTTTTCGAAACTCCCGCTTATTCTCCAAAGTTGTAGAAGATTCTCGAGAGTAAGAATCAACAATATATATATGTTCATAAACGCTTAAATGTAGCATCAGTATTGTTACGGAAAACTGAACTTTCTAGAAATCCTTCACACGCCTATAAATATAACCAACGCGACGCTCCAAAAAAAAAGGGAGTATCTATTATTAATTTGCTATAGTCAGTGTGCTATAAACTTCGGAAGCTTTAAGTGTGATTGTTATAACGCTTACCAATCGGAAAACTTCAGATATTTGACCAGGATCATTTACAAAGTTCGTACATTACAAATCATTTAACTTTAGTGGATTCTCATCGAACATTAGTATTTTTACGAAAACATATAACTTCACGGTGGAAAACTCGGTGTGTGCGGCTGATGAATAACGAAGGACAAAGCTAGCTAGCTTCCAGTTAAGTTAACTACACCTACGTCAACTCGTAATCATCTCGCTCATCGTGAACCCTCGATATCGAAGAAGTTCCAGACTAGAAAGAAGACTTTATATTGTTTGTCAGTTTGTGAAACTTTTGTTTATATATCATTGTCTGTAATAACTATTTGTAATATCTGTTATTGTAAATTGTATTGTTTTGTGTATATTAAAACGTATTTGTGTTTAAAAAAAAGAAACTGTGTGCATCAGTCTTGTTAGCAAATATCATAAACTGACTATATATCGGCTTTTACTTAACTGCTAAATTTAAAGTGCAATTAAACTACAAAATTTAAATTATCAGTTAACTCAGTTTCAGACCATTTGAAATTCAAATACCTAACACCGCTAATAAAAGGGGGGAATAAAAGTGTTTATGTCTATTGTTCATGAAATGGGTAACGCTAAATGTTTAGAAAGAAACTGAGTTGAGAATTGAAATGAATGCGTATAATAAGAGGAGTCATTAGAACCTTTCACTTCTGACAAGGATTGGTTCTGAATATCAGTTGTTTCTGACGTTTATATGGCTTGCAAATAAGATTTTTCTTGTGTTTGTTGTCTTTTTTCATGCTCAGGTGAGAGGAAAGATCGACATTTAGAACATACACAGATGAAGTGATTTGAAACGAGCCTTCCATAATGATACTTTTTTCTAGCTCGATCCTCGAGGAAAGTTAACAATACAGACCGCCTCTAGCGTGATAACGTTGGTCTCTTTTTACCGGCATCGTAGGCAGTAAACATATGGCAGATACGCTATTCGTGGCTCAAACTTTACTTCTTGAGAAATCGTGTCATTGCTACTCTGCCATCTAGTGTTTAAAATGCGTACAATTAATTCTATTATATTTTTGAAGCGTTATGCTAGGTAAAGTAAGTAACATACAATTGGATAATCGATATTATTATTATTATAGTTTTGCTTCATTTTGGATAGTTGACTTTTTAGTGCGTGGCTGTAAAATGTTCTTAATTTCTAGTGCCTGAACACGAGAATATTGTGTAACGAAATATAATAAACAGTTTATCAGAGGATTTAAGTGTTCTGATAGGATTGTAAGAGCAAGGCTAAGGATAAAGTACAACTCTGTATTGGTGGCAACCTCAAAGCATAATAGCCTAGTTTATCCCAGTTCTTAAAAACACTGAGTTTTGAATAGCATTTCTTTTAAATGCTGATACTACTTTTGATGAGTTATCAGTCGTTGAAACAAATTAATTTATATCTTATATTCGTATTATATATATATATATATATACGTTTGGGTATGTCGCTTGCTTATTTGTATCTAAGTACAAAGCTATACAATGGGCTATCTGTACTGTGTCTACTACGAGTATCAAAACTCGGATTCTATCGTTATAAGTCCGTAGACTTAGCGCTGTGCCACTGGAGGGCATGTGTATTACATTACGAGAAAGTGAAAGTGGCTCGACTATAGTTGTGGGATAACTTTTTCTGATTTTAATGTTATCTTTCAAATGTTTCAAAATCAATTAGTCGGTATTAATAGTTTATTTTTCAATTAAGGGTCAGACATAAAAAGCCAATATCTACTATTTTCGTTATTGTAAAAAATTTTACAATTGTCAAGAGATGAAACTGAAAGATGCTTACTCCCTGTAAAATGTCTTTTTCTACATAACTGGATGATGTGAAGGAAAAGTATTCATGATTTGTTCATTAAAGAAAACGTTGTTTATAGAAGTAAAGTACAAAACTTTTGAATGTAAAAGTCACTTGTTCTCGAGCTTAACAGGTTACTGATTACATGATTACTGTATCATGGCGACAAAATTGTTAGTGGTCCTGAAATACTGTGCTTCCTTATGGTGTTTATTAATGATAAGTTCTATTCTTTGTTTGTTGGTTTTTAAGCACAACTGGCTATCTGTAATATACAATAAGCGAGGATCGGATCCCGAAGTTTAGCGTTTCAAGCCTTCAAGTTACATCTGAACCACTGGGAGGAGTGAGAAATGTAGATCACTGCCGTTCTCGAAAGCAAAAACAACAAACAAGCATAGCCAACTGTGATTGGTGAAAAACAAAGTGAAAGTGAGGACAAAAGATATTATACTTATTTAGTATCCCATCAAAAAATATTATATCCGAGGGTATTGAAAAAGATTTTTAAAAAATCGTACCCAAACAAAATCGAAACAAGTTGGTTATTTACTCGCATATATGAGAACTTTTAACTTTCCCTTTAAAAATATATTCCATATTTTCTTTTTATGGGTATTACTTAATAGTCAGTTTATACAACTTGTCAAGCCTGAAAGGTTGCTAGGATACAGTCACATGATTAAATGAGACTTGTGCCAGTGGTGCAACAGTACGTGGCTTGCGGGCGACAGACTTATGGTTAACTAAGTCGCGTGTTTGATACCATCGCGGTTTTCTTTAGTCAAGTGCCGGAAATTGCTCGGAACGCCACGTGTAATGTAGGCATAGTGTGTCATTCATCTGCCCCGCATTGCTTACTAGTTTGTTAGACATAAATTAGGGTTTCAGTTCAGTATATTCATTTCTAACAGCCTAAGTCACAAATGATATAGTCGTCGGTATTCCAACTAATTGACGATTAGTGAATTACCTTCTCACGGCAATAATTCAAACGATATAAAGAATACGAAGGGCCCTTTTTTATCCCCAAAGTAACAAACACAAGAAAGTGATGATTATTTTATGTTTCTAAAAGAAAGGTCATAATAACGTGTGACTTATGCCTTACTCTCTCTTCACTCCAAACAGAATGAACTTTAGGCCACAGTTGAACGTAGACAAAGTCATAGAACTACTGTTATCGGGGAAGGAAAGTCCAAGAAAGCAAGTAAGGAATACTTTTTGTATGTTTAGGTTTTCCTACTCAACACTACTGAGTTCCTTGAAACTGAAACACGCTTTCTAACATTTCTTAAATGATATATGTCTTTTCAAATATTATAATTAAAAATGGTCTAGATATCTTGTTTTTTAAAAGTATTTGTTCTATAATTTTAAACTATATTATGAAAATCATACTGAGTATTTAATAAGGTTTAAGCTATTTATTAGGAAGGTGTTCCTGTATTTATCAAACATTTGATTGTACTTTTGGTGCCTGCTAATATTTTGTAGTCTGGTGAATAAAAATTTGTCTTTATGTAAGAAAGTATTATAATAATAACAGTATTATAAAAACATAATAGTTTAATAGTAAACTCATGATTAAAATCCACATTCAAAAATTTCATTTACTCAATAAAAACAAAGCTTTATTTAACAGTGTTCTAATGTGTTTTCAAATTAAGAATTTTATGTTTATATTCGATCAGTTTGTGAATTTACAATTCTGCAACAGTTAAAAGAAGAAGAAATTATCTTTATTCGAAACGTAATCATACATTTAGCATTGAGTTAAGGCTGTGAATAATTTTTCAAAACATTTTTTCTCTAACTGATCCAAGACTGGGTTCCAACACCAAGAATGTGTTAACAGCATTTATATTACTCTACCTGAACTTGTAGGCCGCTGCTTCCTTATAAGGGCTCCAGCTTCGCGTAACTTAAAACTTAAGCATAACTTTACTTTTCGTTCCATTTCAGACCCAATTCGCCAAATTTCCGTTTCTTGAAGCTAATTGCGCTTTTCAAAAACAAAATATGTCTCCCATGAAATTCAGCAAAACATCTTCTTTTAATAAGCAGCGACTCGTAAATAAGATATCAGGATGATTATTTTTGTTTAACTACAAACGTATTTGCTGAAAGTATCATTTATCGCATTCACTACAAAATACTAAATAATGATAAACAATCAATGTTACCTAAAATTCAGTTATACATGTACTTAAATAAATATTTTCTCTTTAGATACCCCACGTAGAAGTGACAGTATTTAATATTTTTAATCTGAACTAAACCTTATACTATATATGCTATACAAGCAGGACAAAAACCCTGAGGGCTTTGGCATAGCCATCCCTAATTTAGAACTACTGGCAAAGGAAGGACAGCCAGTCAGTAGCATCCGCCGCCATAGAGCCTATGTCCGACTCCTAGAATCGAATAACGAGATTAACATTTTATAACGTGCCTATAGCGTGTTTAGCGGCATTGTGGATCTAACCTTGGACCCTTTCGATCCACAGACCGACACACTAACCATTACAATTTACAGGCCACGCCCGGCCCAACAATGAAATACAAACAAAACAAAATTACGTTCCAGTCCTGAAGAATGATCATTCACATGTAAGAAGTGTTTAAATAGTTAATAATATTGCTTTATTTAGCTTAATGTTTGGGTGTAATTAATTGTTTTCTAAAAGAAACTTGTTTCATTAGAGTGGTGTCGAGCGGGTACTCGCTGGTCAGGCTTGACTTATAAATCTTGTAAATATGTTTAAGTTTTGCAATTATAACACAGAAAATACATCGAACATTGAAATAATTTAGTAAGAATGAATGAGCTGTTACTTAATTTTAAAGAAATACCAAGTAATTTAACAAAGACAACACTCGGAAGCCACCCGCCCTTTATTGTTGAGTGTTAACGGTTAAACAGGTTGTTTCTTTGTTAGCATACTTTGTTCAGTCCTTTAACTATTGCACAGTAATACATTAGTTTGACCGAAAATGACGAAACAATTGCCCATAATACAAACATAAGTTTGAAAGAAAGTAAGTGAATGAACTAACTGAGTTCATCTTCACAAGTTTCAACTTGGAATAATTTAAGAAAATGCAGAAAAATATTGTTAATAAAAATCTTTGTACTAGTCTTTAAAACTGGCATTCAGTGTTTTCAATCCAGCACAATACCCCGACTGTCTTGAGTTGTATTCGCGTTCTTGTTTTAGAGCAAAGCCACATTGGGCCATCTGCCGTGTTCACCGCGGGGAATCGAACCTCAGATTTTAGCGTTCTAAGTCCACAGACTTACCGCTGTTCCACTGGGATACCAATAAAGAAGAGCAGTTAGTAACGAAAGGATTAAGAAGTTCTGTTCGTGCCATTTTTTGCTAATAAGGACAATAAAACGAGGTCATGTTCTATGACGAGATGTAAAAACCGCTTCAATATATATACAATGAAAAACTTGTTAAAATAACGATCAAATGTTAACGTTATAGAGAAATGTTAATTGTAGCACTTTAACCACTTTATGAACACAAGAATTAGAAATATGCCTTTTAATTTTCCCTTTTATTATTTAGTTATGTAAAAACATCGTTTATTATTTAAATACGGAACTTGAGCGGTGGAACATAAGGTTCTAATGTTTGTTTAATCTTCATGTTTAATTAAAACGTAATAAATATGTGTTTTTAAAACAGTTAAATCAAAATCGTTACCGAATGTTTTACATTTACAAAAATGAGCTGTATTGAAAATTACTTAATAACTAATACACAAATATATGTATATTTTTGACTTATTGCCATAATCTGATCAAAAATAATAATTTCTGTTTTTTCTTTTAGATTTTAATTGTTGTTAACTCTTGATAGCAAAAATAGCTAGGTGGACATTTTATAAACTTGGTTTACTCAGTTGTGAAATTTACTCGTGGTTCGTAATATCTTGCCAGGCGTGGCCAAGTTGCTAGCGTATTGGACTGGAGATCGAAGAATTCATGGTTCAACTCATGACGCAGCTGAACACCTTCTATGCCATAGGTGCGTTATAAAAGAAACTGTAATTTCTGTTAGTTTGTTCAAAGTTCTTGGCTAAAGGCCGGGTCAGAAACACCCAAGATTCAGGTATTTCCGTTTCTAATTTGGAACTACTGACCAGAGGGGTGACATCCAGCTAACAGTACCCGGCACCATCGTCGTTAATTTAAAAGTTAATTTTTAGTTCTGTTTATTTGTTTGTTTTGTTGTTAAGTGCAAAGTCACACAATCGGCTATCAATGCTGTGCACACTTGGGATATCGAAACCCTGTTAAAAAATCTTGAGACTTGCCGCTGAGCCATTGTGAGGCACTTAATTCTGATCTATAAAGTTAGCTTACTTTTGATCAAGTTATTAATATTCGCGTAGGAAAATATTTTGGACGTGTCCTAAAGTTTTTATTTCTATGTGACTTTTGTAAATACACCTACACACAAAATATGCAGTAATTTCAGCTTAGATGCGAGCTTAACTTCATTAACATAAAAATCAGTATGTTATGTACTTTACCATTTTTATATAATCTAGCCTGTTTTGTTTTTGTTGTTTTGTCATTTGTATTTGAACTAATTAGCATCACCTGATCGAAATATTATAAATTAGTATTGGAATTTTTCAACCTGATCGTCACTTTATGCGCACGTTCTTAAGTTGGCTGAACACTGTGAGATGTTACTGGTTTTATGGCTGAAACTATCGTTAATAACCAGGGTACTCAAGTGATGAATCAATGCATTCTAATCAATACAAGGTATAGGTTTCGTTTTGATACTATTTTATACTACTAGTCAGCGATAGATTTAAGTTAGTCCTAACTCAATATGCTGAGTTAGTAATGCATAATAATGTTCATTAGTGTAAAAATCAAGAACAGTACAAAATTAGTTGTTTACCCCTATGTTCTGTTACTAACGTTAAATTACATTACGCTAGAACCGACAAACTGTAAAGGTGTGAACTCTTTACTTACAAAAAAAACGTCTTTTTTATTCGTGATAGGTCTAAAACACATATAGGATAAATTAAAGAAACCAGACTTTTCCTTTTGAAAACACGTGTGATCGGGTTCCAGTCCTTTTTTTTTTTCGTCTGTTATTGCACAATTATTTTATCACAGTCTAATTGTGCATTAGTTGAAAACAAATAAGTAATAAATCTGTCATGTGATATAAAAAATCTATATAAATTCTTATTAAGAAACTATGTTTTCACCGTGAACAGTTGAAAACTTTACTTTTGGTTGCTGTTGTTGTTCACATTCGATTGAGTATTTCCAATTTATATAAAATTTATCATTCGTATCATAAACTGGTTATAGTCCGTAAAGTAATTTTTTTTTCGTATTGCATATTTATATTTTAAAGCAGAAGTATATTTTAATTTTACCGAAAAAGGCGAAACTGAGAGAATAAAAACAATTTGATAAAATTAATTTTAGAATATATGATATCATTGCTGCTATTTCGAACCGAAAGCACTTTATTTTTCCGCTGGTAAATGGCCATAAACACGAACTTTTTTCAAGCAGGAACTCTGATAACGGTTAAAATAACGTTTTGTAAACTGGTTCTTATGAAAAAACGTAAAATTTATCATTTTTAAAAGAACATTCGTTTAAAAGTATTATTTGTATGTTACAAAATATTACGTAATTCAAGCTTAACACTAGGTGGCACTGAAAATCTTATCATAGTGCGATCACGCTCGAGTTTAAGATGAGCATGATAGCAAAACAATTTGAATATAAATTTAATTGTTAACTTTTTAAACAAAAGTCTTATAATAATACTGTGAGTGTAGCTCGAGTTTTTTTACTGGAAGCACCCACGAGCTATGATATATTAATTTGTTTCAACAATTATGGCGGCCGATATACAAAAGTATATCAACAGAAAATTTTCTTATGTGAAAACAACAACAACAACAAAAAAAAACAATAAAAAAAAACACATCAGAGCTGTATTTTAATAATTATCAGGCCATCAGAGTTATATTTCTACAGGTCATCAAAACTGTATCTTAAAAATCACCAGGTGTATATCATAATTCATTAGGACACAGGAGTTAGACCAGATCTTCATAGTTGTATAGCTGTATGTTGCAAGTCAGCGGGACAGTAAAGCTGTATCTTCAAAATAATTCAGCCGTCAGAGTTGTGTCTTTAAAACTGTCAGGTCAACAAAACTGTATCTTCAAAATCACTAGACATTCATGGTTGTATACTATATATCAATGAGACATCAGAGTTGGATCTTTAAAATAATCAGATCATCAAAGCTAAATATTAGAAATAATCAGCCTAATGCGAGTTTAGTAAACCTGAATCAAATTTTTAATGTTATTGTTGCGTCAGCGAGGTCACGTGACTAGTGTCACGCCACGTTTCTAGAAGTATCTTGTTCCTTCGTGAATGCCCTAGCATTTGCTAGATATAGGGTAGTCTGGTATATATAAGATGGTCACAACGTGACGGGACAACGTGTGTAGGTAATGAGTAATTGAACTGCAGTCAGAAAGTATTGTTGAAGTTAACGTCGTTATTATAGTTTGTTATAGCGCGACTGTTGAAATTAAGTGTATCGTAAAGTTGTATTCGGAAAGAATAAACCAGTTTTATTAAGAAAGGACTTGTGTCGCTAAAGTTTCTTGGGAACGAAGTTACGGAAAATCAACTAACAAACGGAGACATAACATTATTATATTGCTGTAAGATTGTCGGGAGTGAGTAAACGTAGAATATTGGTACTAGCAGATTGCTGCTTTGCTTAGGGCTGTTATTCATTAACAAGTAGTATACCTACCATGGAAAAGATGGAGGAATCCAGTAAGAAAGACAAACAGTTTTTAAGAATTTAAGATTATCTCACATAGCAGAAAACCTCTTTTCTAGAGCTGAATTTTCTGGACAAAATAAGTTAAAAAGATATGATTTATACACACGGCCACATTACAACTGATCCTGGCTCGATGAGTTGTGAAACATCAGTGTGAATTACGGAGGAAGTGTGAAAGTCAGTAGAGTATTTTATTTTTAAATATACTGCATGGATATATATGTTATTAACTCACATACACAATACGTCCTAAGTTTCTGTGCATTTTAACAAACACATTTTTGTTACAACAGACAAAAAAATCAATTACAGCAACTCTTGAAACCAAATAACAAATGTTATACACCTCAAGCTTCGATAGTCCGTATCTTGCAAGCTTTCGATTTTATTTTGCGAATGACAAATATCACGTCATCAATGGAAATAATATGTGCTGCTATTTTAAACTTTGGAAATTAAAAGAACCTTAGACCACGCCTAACCCAATAGACAAAATATATTAATATAGATTTTAAATGAACATCAAAAAATCATGTTGGTTTTAATTGTTTTAATTATAAAGTTTTTCTTTTAATTTTGTAAACGTAACCAATTTTCTTTTAAGCAGAAAAAGAATAATAACATACGGGTAACATTATTTATTTTTAGATTTAATTTTATCTATTTATGTTTTCTGTCAGTAATGTAGAATAACAGAAAACTAGTATTAATAAGGCTATGAAGACGAGACTGGAGTAAATAAAAGTATTTATATATATCTTAATTATGTCTCCACAGATATACTGTTTTTCTATTATTTCTTCTTTTTCTTCCAAATTCTTTTCAATCGACCGCCATTCCTTCATTTCTCGGCAGATTGACTTCAAACTTGATAGGGTTATACTTTGGTCCAATGCATCCAGACACCTTTTTCATGTTTTTTTTTTATTTATACCTTTTAAGGATTTATGGTGTATCAAAGTCTAACAACCCAAAAATAATATTTTGGGCTTCTGTGCGATCATATTTACAGCAATAAAGTTAAAATTTGCATAGATATAATTTTTTGTATCAAACCCATTAACATACACAAAAGTGGGATTAGCTTATTTTGAATCATTTTTGAGAGGTCATAGCTCACAAAAAAACATAATTTCGGGGGGTTTTGTTTACTTATTATTGAGTTATTTTTATGTATTTTATAGGGTCAACAGTAAAACAGTCCAAAAATGTTTATTTTGGGCTCTTTCCTGTAGGGTCATATTAACAGCAATCGAAATGAAAACTGGCACAAATATACATTTTCATGCACCCACCAAATTCGGGGGGGGGGGGCTACAGAGCTCACAAAAGAGCACAATATTGTGGGTTTTGGTCAATTACAGGACAGTATTTGGCTCAATTTATATGAGATTTAATACAAATATGCTTTTTTACAGGTCCCACTTAAACATATAGACAATTGTGGAAGTTTTGTCTTTTGTTCAATTTTTCAGCGAGGAAAGTACAGTTTAGAGTTTTCGTAAACTATTCAGGTGTATTGCAAGCCACAAGCAGCGATATAGACATTTTTCGACATTTCTATGTTTTTCATGAATTTTCTGGTATCATAATTGGCCATGTTAGGATTGCGTGAAGGAGACATGTTGGATTCGCCCGCGAAATGTTGGCCTCTTTAATTAACAGTCGTTTTGATTAAAGCCAATTAAGTCTGAGCGTTTTAATCTCACTTTTTGCTGATAACGTAAAAGTCATCGAATTTCTTCAGTTGTGATTTTATCACTTTTTTAAATACAACGTGCTTTCCAAGTACCACGAATTTCTTCAGTTGTGATTTTATCACATTTTTAAATACAACGTGCTTTCCAAGTACCACGAATTTCTTCAGTTGTGATTTTATCACATTTTTAAATACAACGTGCTTTCCAAGTACCACGAATTTCTTCAGCTGTGCACGTTGTATTTAAAAAAGTGATGAAATCTTTTCAAGTATCACGAATTTCTCATTTGAAATATAAATATCACAAATATTCGACTGTTTGTTATATGCTACTTACATGTGTATCCTGGTTGTATACTTGACGTTACTGTTGTGTCCCTACGTATTATGTTGTTTTGATAATTATATGAGCTGTTGTTTTATAATTTTGTTAGTGATTAATCAAAGCTATAAACTATTTCAATGTATGATCAATTGGCTATGAACGTTGCACATTTTCAGGTCCAGTTACCAGAAATCCAAATTCGCCAGCTTTGTCATGTATCCAGAGAAATCTTCTTGAATCAACCCATGCTTGTGGAACTAGAGGCTCCAGTTAACATTGTTGGTGATATTCATGGTCAGTTTAGTGATCTTTTACGGCACTTCGACAGGAATGGTTACCCGCCGGAAGCCAATTATCTTTTTTTAGGGGACTACGTAGACAGGTAGAAACACCATATTTCTCAGCTAGCGTCTAGTAATTGTTTGGAGGCTGTCTTTTATGATATTATGTGAATACCAGTTGCACGGGCGGTGCTAGCCCATTGGAGACCCCAAGAGAGTAATTTTAGACCTCCTTCCTCACCCCGTAAAAATTACAACTTGTAATATTTCCATAAACCAAAAATACAGCAAAACAACACACATTAATACACTTGTTAAAAAGTAATTTCCATTTACACACTAATACCACTGTGTTGGTGTCTTCCTCAACTCTTCCGCAGTGTTTTTGTAACGAACTCGGCAGCAGTCAGTGTACAGTACATGCACCGCACGAGCGCCTGACTAAGATATGTCTTGATATTGCAAATTTTAAACGTTCATCGGTTACTGAGTGATATGTTTTTGGATCGCTTTCAACGAAAACACTTTTTCTTTTAACTGAATACAACAATAACACAGGCAAAAGTCAAAGTTCTGATGAAAACACAATGCTCGTGAATCGTGATGGGGTGTAGGGGTTCTAAACAATTACTTAGTTTGCTGATGAGTAGCTTCGCCACTGCCCCGTCGTTTATACTATGCACTTATCCGTATCATTAAAAACAGCACATAATTTATTCATGTTTGGCAAATGTAAAAATAGATATACGAATGTTGTGTATTATACGGAGTTATGTTTTCCTTTTGTGAATAATTTTGATTTTCACTTGAACAGAAAATAGTTCTTAAATTATTCGTCAGAAAAAAAAAGAAGAATCATTTCATACTATGCAATAAACCGAGATGATTGAGTCATTCCTGGGTAAAAAGAAATGAATTTATCAAATAAGTGTTAGATTAATAATTGTTCTTAAATAATTATTATGTTTCAATAATAAAGTATACAAGATTCAACATACACTGGAGGAGTTAACGCGGTTCTAATTAAGAACATTTATGTTATAATACTCTGACGAGTAATGCTTGACAGGAAATGTTATAATATTGTCACTTCATTCTGGGCTACACTAATATAAAGTGATAATATTGTCACTTCATTCTGGGCTACACTAATATAAGGTTATAATATTGTCACTTCATTCTGGGCTACACTAATATAAAGTGATAATATTGTCACTTCATTCTGGGCTACACTAATATAAAGTGATAATATTGTCACTTCATTCTGGGCTACACTAATATAAAGTGATAATATTGTCACTTCATTCTGGGCTACACTAATATAAAGTGATAATATTGTCACTTCATTCTGGGCTACACTAATATAAAGTGATACGCTGATCATTCCATTATGAAACTACTCCCATTTCTCCAGCTAGATTTTGTTTACATTTCTTATTTATGCTAATTTTGTTCACTTGATAATTTATTGTAATGTCAGAAAGTATCTACCTTCAAACTGTTTCGTTGATAACCATTGAAACTTTGATTCATGAGCCTTTTTATAATGTTGACCTTTGACCTGTATCTCCAAAATAATTAATAGATTAGTCATTGTTGCCAGACGTGATTGAACTTCTCGAAATAAATATTTTAAAGAACCTACCGCAAACACACACACAGATATAGTGGCATAAATAGACATATAAAAAAAATCATAACTCCGTTCGCTGTATACTACACATAATCAAAAATACCTGAGGTGTGAAAAAAAGATGCGTCCGAAAAAGGATTTAGGAATCAAAATTGGCGGCGAAACTGGTAGCTATACACTGGTACCGTTGACAAGTTTGTTGAATTTCGCGCAAAGCTACACGAGGGCTATCTGCGCTAGCCGTCCCTAATTTAGCAGTGTAAGACTAGAGGGAAGACGACCCGCAGATTGTGAGCCGAGCGCCATAACTACTTGGCCATGTCGGGCCAGCATTGATAACAATTTTACAGCAAATATTCATTCATTACTTAGCCAGACCGCGTTTTTTGTTTAACTTTGGGCATGATGGTGGGTAAAACAAAATACACAACCTAGCTAACTAATGAATGAATATTTGCTGTAAATTTCTTATCGGTGCTATAATTTAGGCTGACAGTTTTGATTTTATTCTTTTAAGTTGCACGCTAAACCCTTTTTTGTTTCACACCTAAGGTGTTTTTGATTAGATATCATGACTTTTTTTGTCAATACACACTAATAAACCATACCAAATAAGAAAGTGACACTCGATAGTAACCAACATTAGCTTTAGGATCACAACCCTATTATTCGGAACAAACCTATACTTTACAGAACCAATCAGATTCTTTAAAACATATGGTGGTAGTTTTTCCTCTCTAGTTAATAGTTTCCTTTATAGTAACGCCATGGAATTTAGATTAACAGTTTCTTGTCATTATCCCCATGCGCTCGGTACAGCCGTATTAAGCATCATTATTTTTGCTAATTGCTGAAGCTAATATCGCGTGACGCTAAACACTCTTTAATTAGAATAGTTTCATAACATTTAATAAATTTGTGCTGAACAGCTGGCAATGAATAATCAATAGTAATCGTCCACCTGTATGATTCTTTTGAAAACTTGAGCTAGAAACTACTAATCTAGTTTGCTTGGCCTAACCAATACTTGTGTATCTGCACGTCCTTTCACCTTATAGTTTTCCTGCTATAAATCAGTCGTCTTTAATCCAAATGACAAAAAATTAAAAACGATCCACTTCTACTCTTAGGTGAAGCTGTAGTAAAAATGTTAGACCAACAGCTCACGTGACTATTTTGCGTAGGCGTGCGCAAAAATTTTCGTTAAATTCGAGCAGTTTTTGTTGAATAACTTTGCACTTGTTGCTTATATTTACACCGAGTGAGACTCCTAATTGTAGGTTGTAAGACCTACCAGTGTGTCGAAATTGAAACAAATCCATAAAAATTAAGTATGTTTTTCTATCAAATAAAATGTCAGTACTTTTGGTGCGAAGAAAACAAATAAGAAGAAACTCAATCAAAATTGGACATGTTATATCTCGGGTATTTCTTAATGGATTGCCTCGATATTTGGTATGTGAAGTAAGAGTCCAGTGGAGCACATCAGCTGAAGATATATGATAGTTTGGATTACCAAAATCCAAGATACAGAAGGTGGGCAATCGCTAAACTATCACTACTGTTAATAACACACAGTGTGTCCTGCAGGTTGTTTTTTTTTTTTGGCGGTAAGACACACAGTAGTGTGTTTTGATAACAGGGGCAGTATATTGATAAACTTCATACTCCAGGGATGAACTATACACACACACATTTAACTTCAAAATATTATTGAAATAACGATTGATATTTAAAACGAATAGAATAACTATTGAATTGTGCTCAAAAATACGTAAGCACTCGAATTTAAAATTGTGAAATTGAAAAGTTTATATCTGTGGGTTCTCATTTCATGAGCAAAATCCTTTATTTGTCCTTCAAGTTCAGAAAAAAAAAACATTTTGAAAACTTTGAAATTATCGGATAAATATCAATCAAATTCGCTGTGAAATAAGTGCTGCAGATGTAACTTGTGTGATTAAAAAATTCACCAGACAAACTAGTTTTGAGTGAGTGTACGCATAACTCCAAATAATGTTACTGAAAAATTTATACATACTACGGCGATGGAAAATTTTTTTATGGCTATGCTTTTTGATGGCAGGTGCATGTAGACTTATAATTTGAAATGTTACTGTAGTGAAAAAAAAAGTTTGAATCGTGATTCATTGTTATGTAAATTTAAGCAAAATGTCTATTAATAGTGTTCTAAAAATTCAGTCATACAAATTAGCCATAGGAATTCTCCATACAAATATTTATATCTCAAAAGTGATTAATATGCCTCAGAATGAGCAAACGAGTACAGTAAAGTTTTCATGACGGTTCGTTAAAAGGATTTCATTCACCAGTGTGAGCTGCTCGTGACCTAATGGTTAGCGCGTCAGGCTTCGTATCGGAGGGCCCAAGGTCTCAGAAGTAATGCTCTGAATACGCTCCCTACTTACAGCTGTGGGTGTGCTATAAAAAGTACATTTTTTTTCTAATTATTCGGTTCAAAGAGCCTGACAGAATCCTTCGGGCGACGATCGCTGTGGGCTAACAGCCCTCTCTCTGATCAGCAGTTGAAAATTAAGAACGGATATACTTGAACCACAGGGATCTATAAACTGTTTATTTAGCCCATGTACACATAAGGTGCCATTCAACTTGAAACTTACAGTTCTAATATATTGAAGTTGAAACGTGATAACGTGAATATTTGAATGTTTAAAGAACAATGTGGTAGTATTTTAGCCAAATCTAAAGTTATAAATCAGTAAGGTTCTTTAGAATCTAGAATAGTAGCTTGCGAAATTAAATAATATTCCCTACTACAAATATAATATGTATTTATCGATTATTTTGGTTTTCAAAAGATCATTACCATCGACATGAAACTGTTTTAACAGCACAGACTTTTTTAAAAGGATATATAAAATCTATGTTTACATGCTTTAAAATTTAGAACTGTTGATACTGTGAAGTTTTTCTGAAAAGGAAAAGTTTTCAACAATGTTTCGTTGCATATTCGCCATTAACAAATGTGGAGAAATTATGTTTTCTATTACGATCATATTTTCCTTCTTCCACAAATGAACAGTTCTTTCCGCATCAAATATCACAACAGTATGTTCTACAGTACGGCGCCCTGTATTGACGAACACTGTATAGTTTAGTATCTATCTGCTCAGTGTTCTATTAAATTTATGGTTTCTTCTCCAAACGACGCCTTCACTCAGATAGATGTATCTCGAGTTCCAACAGACGAAGGTAATTTTTCGTTGCGGTTTCTGTATCAGTGCATCAAAGTGAATGTGACAATTGTCTTGTGTCGCCAACGGTGGAGGACAGAAATTTTCTGGAACGTCGGATAGATGGGAAATTATGTCTTTTTTTTTTCTCTGTGGAAAAGAAGAGCTTTTGGAAAATCAGTGGGTTTCACTGTCATATAGTTGTCACATGTTGTTGTAAACTTGCCTATTTATAGGCGTATGTAAAGAGATC